GCAAGAGAATTAAAAGAATAATAAGAGATGCATTTACAAAGAGCTCAAAAAAGTAGAAAAAAAAATGTGACAAAAACTATCAATAAATGTGAAAATCAGAAAATTTAAGAAAATAATCGTAAAAGAACTGCGTGAAAATAAGTATATCAAGAAATATATTAAGAAATAAATATAAATAAAGTTAAGAGGATAATAAACAAAATATGACAGAAAAAACTTATGATTATACAGTAACTTCTATAATTATTGTATTACTTTATTTGTAATTTTTAGATTGTAATAAATAAAAATTTGATGATCGAATGATTTGCAGATTTAATTAATGTATTGTCTGAGTCTTCTTTTATAATATATTCAAATTAAAATTTCTTTTTATTTATAATTTTAAAAAAAAATTCTTTCATAACCATAAATTTTATTATATAATACTTTTGGCGCATATAAAAATAAAATCAAAAATATAAATTTTTAATTTTTTTTTAACAAACTATCGTTAAGAAATTTCTTAAAACTTCTTATCTAATATAGGTACTGATTCAAACACTTTATTTATACTAGGTAACGGGGACCGTTTGCAAGTCCGGAGCGGTTTATCAGCATTTTGCATTTGTGTAGCAGCCGAACTACTTTCTGCTATATTACTATTAAGGTCAGACTCATTAGTAAACTGCTTTCGTGTTTTTTGAGATTTGTTATTGCGAACCATAATCAAATATAAAAACTATATTTTTTTTTTAAAAGAAACATGAGATAGATAAAATGATAAATATTTAGATCACACTTATGAAGACACACTTTTTAATTTATTTGTTTATTACTTTAATAATCAATTGCCCGTGTCAATATCCGGGTATATTACCCACGCTTTTATCCATTTTTAACTTTATAACCCGGATATCCGGGTATATCCGAATTGTATCCGAGTAAACAGGTAACGGGTCGCAACTCTAAATTTCACAAATACTGTAAATACTTACCAACCAATGATTATTCTGAACCTAAAATTTGAAGCCTCTAGTAATACTACACCGAATCCATTAAACGTGAGCATTTTAATTTTAATTTTTAGATTTTTTAATAATCGCGGTTTTTAAAATTTTGTGTTATACGTGTGTTCTTTGTTTTTAAATAGGCGATTAAATTTTATTCAAAGCATTTCAAATTTATATTGGTTATTTTTTATTTTTCAATTTTCGATTTTAAAAATGATCTTCAAAAATTGCTACAATATATCCGAATGTTCGTTCTTCTATCTGGATTCCCCTTCCGACCTATCACATGTTACGGGAAAAGCGTGACAACCACAATTGTGAAAACTTTAGTGGACGATTATGAGAAAATCTATTGTCTTTAAATTAATTGATACCCGGTAAAGAGTTAAGACAAGCATTTTCAAAAAGTAAAAATCAACCTTTTGTTGGACGATCCATTATCATGTTCAGATAGCTTCCACCCGTAATCGACTCATCTCGCGACACAATCTAAAAGATGCAAAAATGTAAGCAAGACTGAGTAGGATCGAAATTTTCTATCTCACATGTTTATAAATAAAACTAAGTATAAATGTAGAAATTGGCTTCGTCGTTGTTATCATTCCCAGTATTAGATTCATATAAATCCAGTCCAAGTGATAGAAAATGATACCTAAAATATCGCATGACATTTGTTAATGTCCTTAACGTGACAAAACATTCTAATGCAGGTTTAATCTTTTGAATATATCTTTCACTTTATTAACATTTACTATTTGCTTATTTGCTTATCATTGCTTCGTATTAATTAATTATAGATGAAACTGCTTCTCAAAACAATTTTTATATTTAAATTTAAAAGTTCGTGGTAATGGAAATTTTAATAAATTTGACAATTGACGTAGATCAATTTTGACAATTAATGCAGCTTAAATTAATCTATCCCGAGTAATCTAAAAATAATTAGACCCAATTGCAAACATAATTAAACGATAAAGATATTTTGAAATTATAGCTAATTCGAATCGAAATCATCGAAATTTGATCTTCAAATATTGTTTCGGATAAAGTCATATCCTTTCGCCGATCAGTCGAATGTTTAACATTTTTGATTTGTTCCTTCTTTTCTATTGCAGCAAGTATTTAAGTGATTTTGGTTACACAGTAAATTACGGGACACCCAGAAATTTTTGTTGCAGAGTACTTTCGGGTTATCGGGTTGTCGTTATAATAATAAACA